ATTAATTGTACATATCGCGGATATCTATAAGATAGATAACCGTTAACAACAGAAATATAGATAATAAGTTATGATAGCCGATAAGTAATCGTAATAACTAATAGTTTGTTATCTATATTTGACATATTTTTGCCATTAACTGTATTCGGCAGTACACACGTGTATGAACCTATAATAGATACAGCAACCGCATCAGTGCCGTAGAAACCACCGGTGCAGGCGGTGCAATGCAACGGGGCACTTGATCTTGAAAGGGCCCTACGCCCTTACCGATTATCTGATATAATGTGACCCAAAATATAAATATAAAAGAAAAAAGAAAATTATGGGGCACCTACACCAATTTGCACCGGGGCACACAAGTATCTAGCTATACGGCACTGAACCGCATGATCCAAGATATATATTTAAGTAGAACTTAATGGAATATCGATCATTGGAGCTATACGATATTTATCGAATTAAATAGGCCTCGACACAACCAACTCAACAGCAGCCTATTTTCGTTTTTGATCATAAATCTTATAATTATTATTATAAGTTGTAACAGTGGCAAACTCAAAACAGTATAACCAACAATCTCATTTACTAAGGAAATTATAAACATAAAATTATAAATTATAACGACCATAAATAAATACTATGAATTTCCTCTGAATTTTTTTTAAAAATTAAACCTATAATTACAGCTTATGAGAAATTGAGAAACCTTGTACAAAAATTTCAAGTTTTTGACTATAGGCGAAAAGTAATATTGTTCTCATTGGAAAAAAGAAGTTTGTAACACCACAAAATATATTAATTTCTGTATTTCTGAAAATAAAGTTTTTAAGAGGACGTCTTACAAATGCGTAACATTGCAAAAACTGTTTAGCACGGGATAGAACCACTCAGTCATACTCTTAGTAGAAACGCCAAAAGTTAACACAATRTAGAAGATAATATTTTCTGTGTGGTAGTGTTGTTAGTTGTTTGATGTCTTTAAAAATTATAAATTAATAATAGGTACTTTTAAAAATCTGATAGTTTTAAGTTTTTTCAAATTTCAGTAACTTTTGATATATTGGTCTTATCAACACAATTAAAATTCTCTTTATTTAATGGTGATAATTTGATTTTTTAGTTATAACTGTAGACTTTCTGGTTCTTTCCTGCTCGAAACAGTTTTTGCTTTGTTATGCACTTGTAAGACGAAGGTCGAAGACAACAGATGCTAATATCACGTTCTCTTAAGTATACCTATATTACCTAGCCAATAGCCATATAGTCATGCCATATATATGCTAGGTGGCCAACATAATTATAAATATGTTCGCGAGCCACATATATATAAATGCGATAATAAGAACCAAAATATTTGTAAATACATCTTATAATTTTATTTCATAAATATGTATTTACTTTTTATTTTTGTTTATTAATCTGTATTCTATAGAGTTATATATCAATATAATAATAACATTTTTTTCTGTAAATATTAAATATATAGGTACCAACAAAAAATTAAAATTTCGGTTTTTGACTTTTGTAAATAAGACACGATCCAACCGCGGCTCGCGAGCTGAAATTGACCACCTTTGGTATATTATATAATTGTATAGTAATTAATAAAAACACCCAATAATAATCCATGTTACAGAAGGTCTTTAAAAAAAAAAAAATTATAGGTTAGGTTAGGTTATTATTTATGATATAAATATGTATTTAATTTAAGTATTTTATATAGGTAGGTACTTAGTGGCTAGTTGACCTAGCTACTATTAAAAATTCCAAAAACCAAAATTTAAATAAATACATTATGATAAGTGGAAAAATGTGGATGGGCGCTGGTGCTTGTTAGACAATCTGTATATATTTATTATAGTAATCTGTAGTTTATTTATTCGGTGTTTTTAATTCATCTCCTTAAAAATCTCGTAATAATAATGCATAGTCACGCACTCACGCGCGTTTCATGTCATTATTCATGTTAGGTACCTACCTACTACCCTACCCACTTGAAAACGACGACGCGTCACCAGGCATAAATATACACAATAATATAATAATAATATTTTGAGTCGAAAACTGGCGTTTCACGGTAGTAATAATAACAACAATAATAATAACGCCACTGAGGTGCTGCGGGTTAAAAATACGATCGCCACAGTCTATTCTTGGGCGAAACCAGTCGTATATTTCGTGATTTTCGCGACAAGCGCGTCCCGATGAACGTTAATATCTACGCAAATAATAATATTATAATAATATAGTGGCCACGGCCCGGCCAGTGGCGTGCTCAATTAATATGAAAATGACTTACAATTTTTGACGGACACTGTAGGTTATTTATATATAATTTTGTTGTGTACAACAAAACCACTGGCACTGTATCAGTGGTGCTTCAGTGGCGCGCAGCCACTGCAGGGACGATTTCGATGTGATGCATATATTATATAGGAGTGACGCCAAGTCACCAACCCACCGGCGCCTAAAAGTCCGGCTGGGCGAGTGGGTGGGTTGTGGGTACATGGGTATCTCTGTGAGCGACGGATATTTCAATAAGAGAATACTAATATTGTATAGATATCATTAATACATGTTTCACAAGCTATATATATATATACTTTTTTACCTATTTATTGTAATTAATTTTCATCACAATAAATCGTTTTCCCAAATTTTAGCCATTTCTAATTCAAGTCATCGAACGTTCGCATAATATAATATTCTATCGACTGTTCAGTAAGTACCTATACTCAAATTATCTCTAAAATCGAATCGATATGTTGAAAACTCATACTCCTTCCGATTTTATCTCGTCAGTTCAAATTTTAATAATCACAACCTACCGACTTCGTAGTGATCGTTAGTTGTAATAAGTGGCACCTTTGACAACCTTGACTGCACCTTGATCGTATTAGCAAGAGGAAGTTATGTAAAAATATTTATATGCACCACTGCAAATAAAGTCAAATTTATGCCGAAATGGCTTTTATATATTACTACAACACGTAATTTAATACCTTTAAACCTAATACACCGTTAGCTTTTTGTTAATATATTTAATATGATTAGGTATATAATAGTTATTTTCGCGACCGATATCAGTAGGTAAGATGAGAAAACACTTGCATACAAAGGTGGGTCGTGTGTGGGTGGATGGGTATGGGTAAAAATAAATATATCTCTAGTCTCGACGCTCCGTATTTGAAAATGGTTCGGCCAGTCGCCACTGCAGCAAGCCCAGCAAGGCACACACATGCGTCGTACAACACTATAATAAAGTCTAAAAACCAATTTATAGCATCATCGTCATAATATATTTTATAGTCTCAAATATCTATATATAACAATAACCATAATATAGTTCCATAATATTATTATATTATATTAATTTTCTCAAATACCATCTTAAAATAATTTTATTAATGMATTATTTGTCAAATGAATTATAGTGCAGTATGTATGCCAAACTTCCAATTGCCAATAAAATATCCATTGGATCTGTATATAATAAAATTTTTAAATATATGTTTCGGACAAGCTCCGACTGGTCCGAGACATTCTCTCGGTAAACCATAAACCTTTAGAATATCAAGCAATAAGTTGCACTCTGCAACTCTCGATCATTGGACCGTATTATCTAGGTACTTAGTAGATGATAGGTACAATTTATGTTTTAAAAATCAAGCGTCACGCTCAGTAAAACGGCCGTTTTAACTCAATTATTTTGAACAGCTTGTTATCCTGCAATGGCTGTAGCGGCATACTCTCGTGTCACAAACGTGTCTATGGGCTGTTACAAAGTGCCTATTTCAAGCATGCCTGTATATTACATCCATGTTTATAGCTTTCGTATAACACACAAGATATATTATTTCATCAATGAATACCACCTAAAAAAATGTACAATTACATGGTTGCATTTGCTTCCCTAACTTTTTTTTTATTTTTTCAACTTTTCCTTACGGTAATTTAATGTAATAATTTATGACTGTACCATTTCATCAATAATAATTAATAGAAATAACAAGTCAATCATTTGGTCATGGAAGTTACTAAGTTAGCCATCCAAACATAACTTTTAAACAGCATAAGCAAAGGTTAGGCATTTAAAATAATAATCATATTGTTATCCATACGTGTATAAAATGTACAATCATTGGATATAAAACTTACAAATAATAGCATACAAATAAATTTTAATCAAGTGACATTTATTTTATGTAACTAATTTTTATACGTATACAACATTTACATATAATATAAAATAATGTTAAGTATAAATTAATATCTCACTAAAATGTATCGCTATTCATTATAATTATTTATCATACATATGTTTATAAGTACTTATAATTAGAAACATTGGTAAATCTTAGATGCTAATTATCGAAGACGTTAAAAAAAACGGCTATGAGCAGATTATTTTTATAAGATTATGTAAGCAAAATAAAATAGTATAAAAGAAATTTAATGATGGTTTAAAAAAGTGAAAAATGTATAATAATAATCCATAAATAATAATATTAAATTACAAAAAATACAATGTTAATTTTTTTTTTTACATATTATAATATTCATTTGGAAGACTATATTATCATATTTTGCTAAAATGCTTGAGATTTTGGCAATATTTAACATTTAAGTACTTAGATATTCAATTGGCCAAATGTGTTTTATTATGAACTTTTTTTAATCTTTGTTTACAGTCATTGATTACCACATAACAATATTACAATTAAAAAAAAAATTAAGAACTTTTTTAAGATTAATGATAAGGCCAATAGGATTTAAAAGTAAATTTAATAGTACTTGATTGATAGAATACAGCAACACTTTAACTATAATAAACTCAACTAATTATTAGTAAATATACAAAATGATAACCGGATTGATTATTTTTTTTAGAATGATTTATTTTATTTCTTCTTTTACATTAACGCCATCGTATATAAAAATATTAAAAATTATTAGTAAATATACAAAAAAGGGTCCCCATTACATATTTTGGTAAAACAAAATATTTAATACAAAACTAAAAATATGACAGATCACATAAAAAAACTACTTCACGACAAACATTTAATTGTTTGTCTTTTCATCAAAATTATATGACCAGGTTCTAAGCCCGTCTAATATTTTAATCATTAACGGATTACCACCAAGATTTTCCACTTCCTTACGAGCATCTGCATCTAATTGTGTCAATACCTTCCTTGTATGTTCAAATGAACCATAATTATCCAACAACTTCACGCAGTACTTTTTCACGTCAACATTTCTTGTTCGCTGTCGCAAAATATCTAATAATTTTATGATTTAAGTCCAACATTACAATTATAATAATTTTGGTATTTCATGTTAATTTAAATTTAAAAAAAACGTTTAACATATTGACAGAATAATGAAATATTTAAAGAAAATTGCATGGTTAGTCATAATTATAGATAAAGGATACGAATCACTTGTTTGTCTTCAGGGTGAGTATGTATTGCATGTATAATAGGGAAACTAAACTTTCCTTCTGTTAAATCTTCACAATAGCTTTTGTTTTCGGAATACTAAAGTAAAATAAGGTCTTGGTTATTAAACACATTTTTAAGCAATGAGTATGATATTTCAATATTTGTTACTTTATAAATAATATTTCAAATGTATGTTTCAATAAACCATTTTATTATGAATTTTATCTTATGTTTAAACATTTTAAAAACATATTAAGTTGATTGTTTGTTTGTAAGAACTTTGAAATTTAAAATAAATTTTTATTTCCAACTACCATAAAAATTTAATGATCTACACAATCAATACAAATATTTTAATCTTTTAATGTTAGATTAATAACCGAAAAATAATTTTATCAAGTTTCAGTATGATATAATAAAGGATAAAAAAAAAAAATGTTCTGATAAACTGTTTGATTGTAATAAATATAATAATATACCACAGATAAAGATTTGATTTTCGTTAATATAATATCATTTATAATCAAACACTTCTCTCATCTATACTACACTAAATCAGAAATTTGCTTCATCAAATGCAACTTATTTCACTATTTTCTCAGTTGACAAATTGATATATCTAACACATATGATGAATATAATTCTGTATTTGTCTTATTCAGAGTTCCTAATCTTGTAAAATACCAGAAAATCTGTGGTAACAGTTATTCAATTTAATATTAAAAATTATAATACTG